AACGCAATGATGAATCATAACTGGGTGGTCTTACGGTTGTACAACTTCTATCGCTACATCCCTCACGGTAGCGATGAGATATACCTGTCTCATCAAGACGATACAAACGAAATGAAATTTAGAAAGAAAAGAAAAAGGTTAAATGTGGTTAAATGCAGGCTGTGCTTGCATGGCGTGTCCGGAGGGGGAAGGGACTGGTGCGGCGCCACGGTACGGTGTGTACTGTTAAAGGTGATGATGGCAGCGGCTGGTCCGGTCAGTGGAGACTTTCGTAGTAATCCAGTTTGTCCTCCAACTCGCGGATACGCTGATTTGGTTCCCTCACGGCTGACTAAGGCATCCGGTAAATGTCCGTTTCCTTGTAGTTAGGTATCCCTCACGGTATCCGAAATTTTTTTGCGTTCGTCCGTCGTCGTAGGGATGGAGGGGGAACATCGGCAAAAGTAGCTGTAGGTATGTTTAGCAACTGCGGGCTGGTAAACAACGTCTGATAGAATGGAGAATTGCGAATATACTCCAGTGTGGCATCAATAGAATTGGCCATAAGTTCGAGTTAGCCGAACTGGGCGGTAATGTACCCGTACTGGGAATTTCTAGACGTGCATGTACACCCACTGTTGAAGGGGTTTGCGAAGTAACAGAGCTTTCGTGCAGTGCCTGTGCATCTGCGTTTGGGGAAATAATGTTGTGCGCACGTCTCGTTAACGTCTGGTAGAAAGAAGATTGACGAATACTTTGTACGATAGAAATCATTTCGTTTAATTTATCTTTCAATAGCTGTGCAGGGGAATGATTAATTTTCGGTACTTAATGCAATTCGGAAAGTTTCACGGACTGAGATGGGTGCTCCTTCTCAGCAATAGACGGTGATGCCGGTGCTGTCAAATCATCGGAAATTTCGTTCAGTAAGGTTTCACATAATTCGAGTTTTTGCGGAATCGTATTCGCTATTTCCCCTGAGGTTGTCGCATTCGAGACGGTATTATTTAATTTTGCAGTGCCTGCAGTTTTAATGTAAGGTGTGCGTGGTCTTAAAATATCGGGTGTGTGCATTTCTTCCCGTTGCTCAGTTAATACGTTTTTGCATCGAGTTGCCGGGTCATCTGAGCGACTACTGTACAAGGTATCTTCAGAGAGCCTATTGAATACGTGAGGTACATAGTTATAGCCATACGGTCCGCCTTTCCTGTAGCTACCCATTCTTTTCCATTGACTGCTAAACAAGAACGACATTCCTTTTCGCTCAAGCATGTAGTGTACGTAGTCATCGTATTCTGCTTGAACTTCGGCTTTAATGTCATCTGGACATATACGCGGTATAGTGAATTTGTCATCGGGACTGTAATTTGTGCATTCTCCGTACGAATGGAAGATGTCAAGACACTTTGGGCAAAATAGTTTTCCGTTGTCTAATCGGTAGCTGTCGAAGTCAATATACCTCGGATGTATTTTCTTAACTACGTTGTAATTTTTTCGATTATAATATTTTGTATGGTCACGGACAGGCGAGTTACGGCGGTGCGGCTTGCGATAACATCCGTAACTACGGTCACTTTCGGGCGAATTACGGAAGCGTGCGCCATAATTTTCATCGGTACATAGCTATCGGGAGAATATGAAGGGTGTCGTGTGCGATAGCGGTGCAAACTGGGTGACCGGGTACCAACTGAGTCACTGCAACTACTGTAAGGTTCACGGTGAGAACGATTCCGGTGCGCACTATCTGACCGGCGGTCATCCGATTGACTACGATACTCGTGAGCAGCACGATGATGGTACGCGCCGCTATCATTGTCAGTAGCCGAGTCGTTAGAAGTACGTTCACAACGACTCCTGTGATTAATTTCATTGTCAGCTGATTGTGCAAAAGCATTGCGCGCTACCGGCTCTGCAGCATGTGTGCTGGCTTGTGTGCGCCTTGCTGCACTAAGCGTTGGGAAACTGCACTGAGCGCCTTCAGTACGCGCTGCAGTGGTCTGCTCTGGTAGACTGTCCCTCTGAGTGTGAGAACGTGTGGATGATGCGGTGTTGCTCTGTACAGTGTTCTCAGCCGGCGCTACTGACTCATCGACCAAATGAGAATGGGATCGGTGGAGCTGATCCACAGAAATGTGGTTTACAAACATATATGCAGAGAGCGCGTTTATCATTCTGGCCTTCGTGTTTTTTAAAGCGATTGTTATATTGAAATTTCTACAGATGTCACGTAGTGCATTCCGAGTGAATGTAATGTCAAGTTGTTGCGGTAAGGATTCCATTGCGTACGCGGAGCATGACTGCTAATGGGTTTTGTACACTGCTGTAATCGGCGCCAAAAAGATAGACGGCTGGAATGCGCATGTTATAAGACAAAGTGAATGTACACAAACGTACTGTAAGTGTAAAGCACAATGAACCGGTAAACTGTGGTGCCGTGCCGGCAAATTCAATAAGGTTCCCGAAACCGAAAAACGATCTAACTGGGATACGCGAGCAGAAAAACGTTAACTAAGGTGTACAACCTACGTGGCTAACTGCGCCAATTGTATTGAAGTTTCACGATTGAGTATGCAAGATTAGAAGTAATTAATTATAAGCTTAAACTGCAGTGCTTGCATGACTGATAGAATATGGTCTTATAGATGTAATTGCAGTACTTGCATCCAGAAAGGAAGAACTGGTGAAAGTTCGACAAAAGAAAAAGAAATTTACTCGCAGTATTGAGCCGTTGATCTTATGTAAAATCAAAATTAAAATATTCAGATTTGGCTGATTTCAAATTAAACTGCGCACTCACGAAGCGAACCGGTACTGGGCTTCCGCTGGCTGGATTGGGAAGCGAAGGTGTTAGGGAAATCGGTACCGGGGCTGTCGGCGTCCAGGTGTTATGGTTCTTTTACAGGAGCGCCATGTAACAGTAGCCGATCTGGCTGCTGTTCTAGTGGGTTGGCGTGTTGACCGTACCACGATGTTGTGTGGGCTGTTGGGATGAAAGGTTGGCACGATCGGCAACGGCGCGGTCGTGGACGCTCTTACTGACGTAACACAATTACTGAACGTAACAACGGAAGTTCACGGCATGTTTAATGACAAGAACAATTCAGGACAAGGAGCAAGGTTTAGGCAAGAGTTTAACAAGCAGAACAAGCTGATCAAGCTGATGCAAGCTGTAACAAGCGAATGCAAGACTGAATTCTAGAAATTGTGAAGAAGAACAGCTAGCCGGTAAAATGGACAGAAATTCATAACGCAATGATGAATCATAACTGGGTGGTCTTACGGTTGTACAACTTCTATCGCTACAATATCCAAAGTGCGAAACAAGCTGGCTTTTTCAAAACAGACGACATGTTTTTTGTACAGTATGCCGGTGTGCCTGCCATAGAAATTCTCCCCATCATCGTGTTCCGGCATTCGTTCCGCCATATGATTCCAATGCACGAGACGGTAGTTGGCCTGCTGGTTGTTAGTTTCTCCATCCGATGCCCCGCGATTCACGCTCACAACGTACATGGTCGGAATATCATCGGACCGCCCTGGTTGTCCGATAGCGCCGCTTGCCGGGTTAAGCCAATATAGTGATCCGAATGATTGCAAGGGCAATGGTGCGGCCAGAGATGTTGAGAGTGAATCCATTCGGCTGGGACGCTACTGGCATCGAAATCAACGAAGAACTGGTCCCCGTCAATATCCTGAACGTACCCCAGCCACCACTGGCCGTGGTCACGCTGCACCACCACCGTGTTACCGTAGTTAATCTCGCGCGCACCGGAGTATATATAGCTGGCGATAGTACCGCGGTGTTCCGTTCATGTTGACAGGGAATGTGGAAAGGACTGCCAGTCAAAAAAGCTCGTTATCGGTGTTCAATATGATGCCGCCGAAATGTGGAACTCGTAGAACTCAGTTAGAATCAATATTCTGAACGTGTACACGCTCTGTGCAAACTGCACAGTGAATGGCAAATGGGGTCACCTCTCGGTGGGTGCATTGCCTAAGTGATCTGTATATTCGGTTCAGTTCAGCTTTAGTTGTTGTCTTACCGGTCTGGGCATTACAAGCAAGCAAGCAACTTTATTCCCCCAGATTTCTTCTGGCAGGGACACCCGACACACGATGCATTGTGCCAAATACTGTATTTAACGGTGAAACACAAAACTGAGACAAAACACAGAAAGAAAACTATACAAAACTTAACAAAAGTAAAGCAATAGTGGTAGTAAAGAGAAATTTGTATTAAAAAACATTCATTTTTAAGATTGTACAGAATAAGGTTAGAGTTTACATTTGAATGTGTCTGCACCTGTATTAAAATTATGGAGGTAACAACAAAATCTGCCCTCCATATACTTTGCGGCTATCTTTCAATATCTGGTTAAGAAAATTGCTTATATGAAAAAACAACGTTTCCTCGTTTTGCCGTTGGCCTATCTTTTCTCCGTAGTATGCTCTGCATGATTTCCAGGAGTTCGCCATCAGATACTGACTGCAATGCCCAAGGGAGTAAGGTGCTCCTCCAGTTTTTCTCTGTTTTGAAAATATGCCGAACTCTCATTCAGGGCATGCTGCTCGTCTTCCACAACTTCACAGAAGTTGCACAGTTATATGAAACAGTGAGCAGAGGCAGAGCCGGCAGACTAAACGAGCCGTGTTCGAAAGAACTAACCGAATAAAGTAAAGACAAAGTGCGGCTGTATTTTATATGAAAGCTGAAATATACTTTTTGGTCATTTTGGCAGTTAGAAATTCACATAATTTAAAATCCGAATTGAAAGGTAAGATAAATGGCCCGAGCAGCAATCCGATGTAATGTCCATTGCAATTTGGACGAGATCGAAGAGTTCTTGAATATTTTCATCCCAATGTATAACATCAAACTAGAAAAATTATAAAATTCTCTAATTTATCCATCTTCAGGCGAAGCGATTATTCGTATTTAGTCTATCTTGGGTTGCTTATCTAATGTAGCAAAAAACACCCGTACAAAATACATACATACAAAAATGCCAATTTTCCAAATAACCGGTTAATTAACAAGTTTCTACTGGAATCACGAAATACTCGACAATATCAGCTGCATCCTACAGACTAACAGAAGAAAGCAGTAAAGCGAAGTAGAATTTAAGCAGGTGATAAAAAACGGCAAAAAAGAAGGCTCATATTGCAGGCGATCTTTGCAAAGTAAAATTCTTTTTAGTCTTTGTAATACCCGTCCAGTAGATGCACGGTCAACTTGCTCAACGCGGCGACGTCCAGTTTCCTCAAATCCACTTCATCCCATTGCTTCGTTTCCGCAGGATCGCTGAACCTGAACACAACTGAACCTCAGAAAAAAAACGATAACCAGCAGCTGTATACACTCACAGTTGAAGAAACCGGCGAATATCGCTCCACTCATCCGGATAGACCAGCATCTCCACCCAGCGCGCATGCGCCTTGGCAACCTTTTTGCGCATCCGCTTGGTAACTGCTGGGCAGCGTGTAGTAACCGCGGCTAAAAATCGTCGGCAGTGTTCAGCCTCGGTCTCCGTCGATCGGAACCGCACAACGGGAATAACTACATCTAGCTGGCCATCCGCGTCACCGCGCGCAATCCCTGGTTCGTGCTCGGGCCACGGCAGATTAGGAGCCGTGTGGAACATGTTAACGCGTGACTCATTGCCGTTGCGGTCGGACGCCGTATAGTTGAGCAGAATCAACTGCTGGCACACATCCATTAAGGAAAATACCATGCCACACCGGCAGTTCTCCCCTTTGTCGTAATTCCATTTCAAAGCCAGAAACGAATCCCCTGCTTCTTTCATGGAATCCAAGCCGTTCCTGACGATGAGCAGCGGCACACGAAGACCTTTGCCTGCCAGGATGTCCCGCAGCAACAGCAGTTTGACGTAAAAGTCATTCCCGCTGTTCCCCTCGTAGATCATCGCCAGCGAGCGCGTACGCGCGGTGATAATTCCATTCAGAATCGCCAACATTCGGTACGTGTTGAGGTAAGCGAATTCTTGGGCATCAAATGCGTGTGCTGCCGTTACTTTGACGCGTATCTGCCTGAGGTCAAAGGTGATGTGTCGCGTGGCACAGTACTCCCGCGGAATGAGTCGCCACAGTGTGCACACCCTGATAGAAAATTTGTATTGAGGCTCATCCTGATATAATATTATTTATTTGGCCCAAAATTTCTGCAAGTACTTACCGGCTCGTACAAAACTGAGTATTCCAATCCAGGCTCAACAGCACACCCGCCAAGACAGGCGGCACCAGCTCATCGATGGACATTTCGTCAACATCTGCAAAGGTTTCTGCTGATTCGGTATGCACTTAATATACATATTAGCACTAAATTAATACTATTTGTAATTAAATTATTCCGCTGTTTTTCTGCTTGATTTTAACAATATTCAGACTTGCTCAGCACTCTTAATTTTTAAGTAAAAATTCTTTAACTTAATACAATATTTAAATGTATTCGCTTAACCAAATGAACACAGGTTACACGCCAAATCACGCAGAACGTCATTTCAGCGCTTAAAACACTTCATTCAGCCTCTCACCGATACAGAACGTTTCCTTAGCGCAAGCAAAATTACTTCGCATTAAAGAAACACTGTTTTTTAATAAAATAATAGGTAATCATTTTAATTAAATGCTAATTTACATTAATTTATATTAACTATCATAATAAATTAAAGGTAGTAATTCTATTTAATTTTACTCGTTGATTTACAAACATCTTTATTTCAACTCATGCAATTCATGGAATCGGTGTACAAAATCTGGTAGTTGATTACTAATGGAAACGACGAATAATGGAATATTGGAATGGCGAATATTGGAAAGTGAAAAACCACGAGCGATTGATACGTTTACAGTTTACACTTACCCGGTTTAGAAGCGTTCATGCAAAAATCCATAGAGATACTGTTGTTAGCATCACGCAACTGTTGCATCCGGAGGAGGGTGCGACATCCTTTTTGGATGGCCTCTGCGGTCCAGACCATCCATCGGCCGGCGACGCCACCGTGGATCTCCGCGCAAACAACCGTAACCGTGTCGTCTGCCACGCGCACAAACATCCGGCAACTCCACACCGCGTATTTTACCACACTGACACTGAAAACCATAGTTGTCCACTCCCACCGCAATTAGCATATGACAATTAGGAGCTGTACACGCTAAATCACCACGGCGCGATTTCACTCGGCAGGTTCGCGCCAGAAACGCGGGAAGAAAGTCCACACTCCGCAGCAAGTGTGCCTGTTCGTAAGGGACCACGTGTTTGGTGTATTTGAATCCGGTGGTACTGGCGAAGAAACTGCCATTTCTGTTCGGGAGCCGTTTGAGGATCCGAAAGCGATGAACAATGCAAGAGCCAGGTGGGTTCTTCAGCCGTACAACACAAAACATATCAAACACGATTCCAGTGAGGGTCCCCGGTCGAAATACCATGGGTCCGCCGTCGGCCTCGCGCAGCGCCACCTGGACGGAGGAACCTTCTTGGGGGTCCTTCAGAAAATTGTGTGGCCATAGATGGCTGGAATGGATCCACTGGGAGCAGACGGTGCTGGCATCAAAATCGATAAAGAAATTGTCCCCGTCAATATCCTGAACGTACCCTAGCCACCATTGGCCGGTGTCCCGCTGCACCAGCACGGTGTTTCCGTAGTTGATCTCGCGGGAACCTGAGTTCAACTGGCGAAGGTAAAGGGATGTGGCGTTCATGGTGCTCAGCGATGTATTAAAATAAATATCAATTGAACAGTCCAGTTGAGAATCTTGATGTAGACTTTAATAATCGACTTGAACACTCATCTTTGTCGTGTTTGCAGTGGTAATGCGCTTTCACTTCTGCTTTCTCTCGTAGATGACAACAATTCAGCTGATGGCAAACAACGTTGCTAGGTTAATAAGAGAAACTTTTTTCTACACGGACATTGCACAGTATGAATTACTGCAATTACTTACAAATTACAATCTCGCGACATAGCACTTGTATCAGCTCGAAACAACCTGTATTGTTTTACGTACGCAACAATCTCTATTCCAGCATAAAAAATCGCTCAAAATCGTCTAAATAGCGTGTGGCCAGTATTACTGGCCATATATTAGTCGAATGCTGTAACGAGCTGAGTATAACAAAGAAAATCCTAGATACAAGACAAGAGCTGCAACCTACAGGCGGTTGCAGCATACATAACAAAGAAATCCTAGATACAAGACAAGAGCTGCAACCTACAGGCGGTTGCAGCATACATCCAGCTGCAATCAGTCAAAGTGCACAATGTAAATTGACGCTTCCAACCGGAGCTGACTGGTATAATTTGTATCCTATGACTGGTCGTTCAAATCAACCAGGGCGAAACAATCTAAATTTCTTGTAGAAATTTCAATCTTATTCCCCTGTTTTACGTGCGAGCAGCTGCAGGAAGCAATTCTCTTAGAAAATACAATGTACAACCATATTATAAAGAGGAGGCAGCACAGGTTTGTTTCGTCAATATGACAACGGGCACTGGTCAAGTCTAGTGGAAGTTTATTCGGCAATGGCCAATTCAGATAACAAGGCGCTTGCGCAGGTAAAAACTATTTAAAAATGATTCAGAATTTTAAACAGTAAAAACAGACTGGCACTGCTGGCCCTCTTTGGGGGCAAACAGCCACTCACGCACCCCAATGTTGGAAGGCCAGTTTTCAGGAGAGAACATTTTGTCAGACTCATGGGCAAACGAACCAACACGCGCAAACAAGTTGTTCTTACGACCCTTTTTAGCTGAATAAATTGACACAAATCTGACAGAGATCCCGTTTGATTCAATTGCACATTTAAGATCTTTGCCATAATCTTCAAGTGACAGATGTTTGGTCTGTTCCAGAGGGGGGATGCCGTGTAGACAGAAGTCTTTCTTCTCTTTCTCTTTGTCTGGCTTCATTACGCGTTTCAGCTGCAGTGTTGACATCACGACGTCTCCGCTGCCTGTAGTCCGCATATCACGTGTACCGCGAACCAGCTTTTTCTTTTTGGCCACTGTCGCCCAGGAGTTCTGCGTGTCCGACGAACTGAGAGAGGCACCCCTTTCTCCCCCGTTATCTATAGGCACCCCCTTTCGCACCCACTTAGACTGTAGGCACCCCTTTCGATCAATCCCTGCACCCCCTGGTGTCAGAAAGCTATAGGCACCCCCTGTTGTCCGTTGCTATGTTTAAAGTCGAATTCTCTTGACCTTAGAGAATATTCAGAAAGTCTTTGCACTACCGGCTCCGAAATTTTCGTCTGTTCCTTTTGTAATATATCATGTGAGTTGCTGCATAAATTGCTCTGTAATAATATTGTCTGACAGTTCTGTAATAAGTCGCCCATCCGAAAATAATCCACGATCTGACAATAGCTTGATGATGCCCTGATCTATCCAACCACTACCGAAGAAAACGACTTGAAGGACAATAATACCCACCGTTTTCCGCATTCGAAGCTGCTTTCAAGCAGTATCAAAGAGATATGTTCCAAACATTCGTAGTGAGGCGATCTGAAAGCCAGGGAAAAGCGAATTCCAAAACGGATACCTTGAAGTGCAACGAGAAAAAAGGTCAAGGGAGCGGACTTGTAAACCAAAAAACTGTCAAAACATTTTTGTCAGTCTTCCAAATAAAAATAAAAATGTGTGCCTATAGTCGGTGGAAAAAAACGGGGTGCGAGAATTATCTAATGGAAAGGGGGTGCCTATAGTGAAACAGGGTCCAAAAGGGGTGCCTATAGCAAACGGGGGTAAAAGGGGTGCCTATAGTCTCACCCAATTCGTTTTCCCTTAGTGAACGTTGTGGCGGCGCAAACGTATAGCAGTATAGGGGTTTTGTCACAAGTAAGGCAGACATCAACCGCCGAAAGGCATTCGCGACTGCGAAATGTTTTGCGCTTCTCCCCAAATGCTGCAGACTGGGGAAAACTGTCTCTGTTAGGCTGCTGGCACATACGATTGATTGTATTACTGTCGGAAAAAGCCGTTGTGCGCAGCAGCACGTAAACTGTTTATCAAATTTGCCGGTTTGGGTTGTTGACGCAGTTATGATGCTAGTGATTATAGTATTCGAAAGTATTTACTGTAGCCGCGCGATAAGTTTGCACTGATAGGCAGTCGCACAGTGCGCTAAAATCTTAAGAAGATTTAATAATGCAGCCGGTGTAGATCAGTGGTAAGACGGACGGCTACAGACGCAGCTGGCACGGGTTCGAGTCCCGTCATCGGCAGATTTTTATTTCTTCTGTATCTTCGGTAAATTCAGAAATTCGTATTTAAATTACATTTATAAAATCAGCAGTGTTCTCCTGTCGCAGGCGTCCGCCCTTCTGAGATGGTAGCAGATCGTGGTTCACCCCTCCGGGTGTATTAAAGTACAGCAATAGGCTGGGCTCCACACGCACCGTGTAAGAAAACGGATAGCAGTAGCACCGTGTAAGAAAACGGACAATAAGTGGACAGCCTGCAGTACAACAGCAGTGTTATCGGAAGAGAAGGGGGCGCTTGTACGAAGGAATACGTATCACGCACTGTTGCACTGTTGTTATCAGACTACGCTCAAGGGGCTTCGCTGTCTTGCAGCGGGGATGATAGGCAGTCGCACAGTGCGCTAAAATCTTAAGAAGATTTAATAATGCAGCCGGTGTAGATCAGTGGTAAGACGGACGGCTACAGACGCAGCTGGCACGGGTTCGAGTCCCGTCATCGGCAGATTTTTATTTCTTCTGTATCTTCGGTAAATTCAGAAATTCGTATTTAAATTACATTTATAAAATCAGCAGTGTTCTCCTGTCGCAGGCGTCCGCCCTTCTGAGAGCACCACTTTAGATCTAAGCGCTGCCTGCCTCCGATCGGACAGCGCACACGTTACGTAGAACGTGCTGCAGCGTGTGTGGCGATTTACGTATACCAGACTCTGTGGTGCAAACTTATCGCGCGGCTACAATATAAATCTCAAAGGACCAGAATCAGAATGTCTAACTGCTTCACATGATCCGTTTTTGTTCCAGTGTGCCGGTACAAAACAGTTAGCAGTATTTATAGAGGTAGATTTTCACTAATTAAACAGCTCAGACGACAAAGGAAATAGGCGGCCTGACCTTTTTGTTTGGCTGCTACTAGTACCTATCCATATGGATTTTTTTAGCAGGAGAAAGTTGTTCCATCTTTATGTCCGATAAAACCAGAACTGAGTTGGTATCTGTACAGTAAAAAATACCATCTCAAGCGACAAGTTGTCGAGCAACTGTGTCTCGGCACAACGAGAAACTTCGTTAAAATGAAACTTACAAGCGCAATTTACTGAAAGAAATTTCCCTTGCATTTTACACCTTCTTAACGGTTTTCAGTTTTCTAGTCTGCAATTGCCGCCGTATTAAATACATGTATAACGAATAAGTATAACAAAATGCCGTCTCCCATTCACTGATACACATATGAGACGGTTACTGCTGTTGTCGTCGATATTGGAACCTGCCGAAGTTTGCCTAAAACGTCTATAGAATTGAAAATCTCTGTACCATCAGGAAACTGAGCGACCATTGTTGAAAACACAAGTACAATATAATTATAGTGGAAGCGATCGGTATTTGACTAAAGCCGGACGCCACCGGATATCTGTTTATACATGTATTACTGGCTGGCGGTTGCTGTTATTTGCACTATACTACTCGTATTATCTCAACTTATCAGTAATTTATGTCGGCAAGGTATCTGTTTACACTAGATACATGTGAGAGATTGATTTCGATACAGACCTGCTTTTCCAACAACAGCTACAAGGATTTGCCGACACTGTGGATAAGCCCCCTCTGTGCGATAGCGTTATCGGTCTGAAATTACTATACCATATATCCATTTGTGCACCAAAAAGCAAAATTAATCGGCCACTACGTAGCATCTTAGTGATTGCTGCCATGAATTAAGCATAAGCATAAATTTCCAAGTTTCGATTTGCTTCTGTAGTGCTCTACTGCCTTAATATTAAAATGGAATCCTATGACCCCATCCAAATGGCTGTGCAGGAAGTCGAAACAGTGGGCAGTAGTTGCCAGTATGAATACTTTCCCAATGAGTTTATAGGCCGGGGGGCATTTGGTGTTGTCTACAAAGCCAGGGTCACAAACCCCGGCGATTATATCGGAAACGATGTGGTGGCTGTTAAAGCAATTCACTTGAACAGTCGATCGGAAATAATTGCCAACCAAGAAATCTGGGCAAAAACAGTCGCTAGACTTCAAAAACTGCCAAAACTAGCGCACTCAAATCTTGCAGTCTGTCATCAAGTCCGAATTACTAAATCCTTGGGCGGAGCAACTGTGGAGATAATGATGGAGCATTATAGCTGTGAGTGGATTTTATCACTGGGTTGCTGTCTGTCTTGTAATTTCATTGATATCACGTGTAACGCCTGCACGCAGTAAATTTTAGTGATTTTATTACGTACTGCGCTTACCTGTTACTCGGTCCACTACCTTTCCGGTCCCTACCTTTCGTTCCGCGCATTACTTTTGGCACTGGACAATTGACCACAAATTGTCAACTGACCCCGTCTTTCAGCCAGCGCACTAAAACCAGCCAGATTTTTTAACAGAACAACAGTAAGCCCTGCAAATGCTTGCGGACACAGCACACGATTTATTACGCTGTAAAGACCCGGCAAGGAATCAGCACGCCAGAGTTCGCGTCGCGTGGTAGTCGTGGACTACAACACAGCGAGGTCACATGGAATAGCAAAATTCGCGAAAAGTGAGCATTAATGACTTGATCCATGGCTCGTCACTCAAAACCTACTACTAAGGCGGCCCTCGTTAGACAAGCGCTTAATGTTGGCCGGTTACGGCATCCAGGAGAAGTTGCGCCTAAATCCATTCTAGTTACCACGAAACTTACTTCCCAAATCCCGAGATCGGAATTTAGGGCAGTTATTATCATTAGCGAAAACACAGTTATTAGTTTCCGGTTGACTTGCTGACTAGCTGACGGAACTTCTTTTATACCGGAAGCTTTTATTTCCGGTAGGCAACATCGCATTCTTCAAACAACGCAAGCCATCCACCGAAAACTGCTTTAACAATTTTGGAACTGAGTTTTTACTGCACTGATCTTTTGGTGCTCTTGCCTTCGTAGCACTCGCAATGTCGTAAGTCTTCCGATACCCAGAAAAGTAAAGGCAGTGAACGGAAATAAAAAGCTAAAGTGACGCTGCACAGAACGGTGTAAAAACGCGGATTGCGGAAATGGTAGCTAACGGAATGTTCGCCATAACTTGTTGTAGGTGACCTCGCACGTTTCTTGAAAGAAACAAAGAAAAGCGATACCCGCTCCGTGACGTACGAAAAGGTTGAAGGCTATTGTAGAGACATAGCAGCGGGGTTGGAATTCTTACATCAACAGAAACTGATACACGGAGATTTAAAGCCTGGAAACATCTTAGTGAAAGACATGCCTGCCGACAGCAAGACGCTGGGGATAGCGGACTTGGACGACTTGGTTCATATGCAAGAAAGCGTTACTTGTTCTGGAGACATATCGCAGCTGCGCGGCACTGTGCGCTATATGTCACCAGAAATGTTGAAAAAATTTTGTCAGTCCGAAGCTGAAAGCCCAGGACGAAAAACGGACATCTGGAGCTTGGGCTGCCTAATGTTAGAAATTGCTGAATGTTGTGGAAGCCGCCATGATGGTGGACTGGTTCTTGAAAAGAACGGCGAAGCAATGGACTCCTCAGATAGGCTGTCAAACAACGAATTTGCAGCGAAATTAATGGACGGTTATGCGCCATTTGTGAGAAAAGACATACCGTCGCGACTTGAAGCATGCATTCGAATGTGCTTAAGGCAAAACCCCGAAAGCAGGACATCTGCGGAAGCGTTACTGCATAAACTCCGGGCATTTGACGCTAATGTACACATCACTTCACTTGGCACTAAGATGCGCACTGATAATGGAAACCACATTGTCGTGGCAGCATTAAAAAGATCTATGGGTATTTTCTACGTATTATGTTTTGATCCACTGACAAGCAAAATGCGAATTCTTGAACTCCGTCCACCAGTGGATTTGCCACTACGATTTCTAAACTTCCATTTGACAATCCCAGACAACGAAATGATGTTTATTACTACGGACAAAAACAACGAAGACGAAAGCACGTACTGCCTATGGAATGTGTCTCATGGGATGTGGCGTTCGTTTGTCACAAAATGGAAAGCAGCAAAGTTTATGGCTGTTGTGGTGCATGACATGCTCTATTATTTTCGGCAGCAAGAGGATGTTGTCGAAAATAGAGTTCGTGGTTATGAGTTTGTAGCGGAAGACATGTGTAATGGCCATGTCAAGTTGCTGAGGCCAGCTCCTTTTAACGGGTAAGCAAGCGAACTGGAAAGCATATTGTTATTAATGTGCATTTTGGGCAGTATGCATTTTGGGCAGTATTACCCGTTCTGCTTGCACCCGTGTAGAATTTGCTCTTGCACGATGCACATAGAAGCAAGACACACCTTGCGAATCGTGACCACGAATCCAATCCTTTGGGCAGCATTCACCAAGGCCTGGAAATTTTTTAACATGCCATTGGTCTGGTGTCATGTTTCGAAATTTTCAAAGCACTAATTACTAATATAATTACTAATAAAAGAATTACTAATATAATTTGAGATGAAAAAGCGAAGCAACTAAAAGATGATTTCCTTTGCAGCCGGGATGTGCAGGCCGTAGTCGGGTTTCATAGGATGATATTATATGCCAGCTGCCGTTCTCATAAGACCACTCTGGAACTGTACGATCCGATGGCCGATGAATGGAGATCCTTGCCAACTCTCATGCGAACACGGGATGAATTTAGTATGGTTGTCGCAAACGGCTGCGTGTACCTTTTAGGCGGAAAAATGCTGAAAGGAACGCTGACTGCGGACTGCAGTCGCTTAAACATCAGCACTGGCACCTGGGAGAACATCCACTCTCTCCTGCAACCGAGGCACCAACATTCGTCATGTCTTGTCAACGACCAGATATACGTGTGCGGTGGCCGAAATGCTGCAGGTGATCCTGCTCTGTCAATAGAAGTTTACGATACCACCCGCAACGAATCCTGGTCAACGGTCAAACTGTCGCCACAAGCGGAACACCTGTTACAAAGAATGGGTAGCAACCTTGACAGATTAACGGATACAATAAAAGCCGTTTCAATTGCTCGATGATATCGGATTGCGATATTTTTGTGTCTTTGTTACTTGAATTTGATAGTTTTTGTAACGGGCGTGCATCATGTTTGGGCTGATAAATTTATCAATCAGGATTCGATAACAATAAAATCCTAAGTACTGGCTCCACTGTTATCCTAGTGGTTCCCAGTGCTTTCTGTTTGTTGTGACCAGTTCCGGCTATCCCAAGCGCAGCTCGATTGTACATAACTATTTGAAGCTGGCCTTGCTGTTCCATATAATATTATTACCCTCGTATCGGTTTCTGTTTGTTATGCATGTTTGAATTTAATAAGCTGAGCCTGCGATCAGGACGCATTGATCCTGTGCTTTCTCTATTTTGCGAATTTTGGTCAGCGGTTACGAAAGAAAATTAATTGTACTCGGTTAACTTGAGCTCGTCTGAAACACAACACACATCCATCAGTGCAAAGCTGTTCTCACATTATCGCGGTATCTAATCAACAGAAGTAATCAAATACTTATCAACTAAGAAACGCTGCTTCCGTACTCAGAACAATGGAGCGGCAGCGTTAAATAAAATTATGTTTTTGTAATTAACTGTGTTTGATCTGTACCCGTATTATACCTGTACCCGTTTGTTATGTACCCGTACTGTCTTTAAATGAGAAATGCAAGCTAAATAGATACTACCTAGTACTTATCCAGAAGGACTTTATCCGCATCAATATGTGCATCGCAGCGACATCGCAGCGCAACGACATGCTAGGTCGATGTGTCGATGCAAACTACTGTATACAACTAGTCTGGTTGTCGCCTCGAAAAGCTTCCCGATGTCTTTTATATTCCACTAATTGACCGTTTCCATTTCAGTGGTATTGTAGCTGAGGTGCAAATATTGCGGTTAATAACCACTCGGTAGTATATTTCGCGTGCATACTTCTACGGTATCCAATATCCATGCGCCGCAAAGCCCTTCTTACATTTCGGCGATATCTAATCGAAAAAAGGTTATCAATCATCGGATAAATATTATTTGCTGGTTGCACGTAAATCAAACAAAGATAAATTATAAAATATGATGGTTCTGCTATGGTGATACCGGAAGTCCCCATGTAGCACAGATGGATATGCTCGTGATTTCAGAACATCGATCCGATTTTGCTTTCTCATTTTGACCGAAATGGCAACAGATGTCTCTGATAGCCGCGAAATTGATATCATTGGCATTAAATGCCGGTACAGTTATTCCAACACTAACTTTATTGGGAGCGGAACATTTGGCATTGTTTACGAAGGTAAGATTACGGAGCGCGGCACGCATACCGGAGATGATATTGTGGCTGTTAAAGCCATACATCTCGATGGGAATTCCGATATTGTGACCAATCCAAAAAGTTGGGAAGAAGCAATCGTTAGACTAAGAAAACTCCCCAAGTTATCGCACGAGAATCTCGTACCGTACTACCAAATCCGCATCACAAAGTTCTCCAGTGGCGCAACAGTGGAGTTGTTGATGGAGCGCTGTGGAGGTAATTCAGTAATTGTGATCATTCAGGTAATTTGATGAGTAACTGAAAACGCAACGCTTCCTAGGTGATTTAGCGTCTTTATTGGACGAATCCCGAAAAACCGGCAGCTTCGTCAATAAATTTGGAGAGGTTAAACGCTACAGTCGAGACATATCATCTGGGTTATATTTTTTACATCGGCAAGGAATAATACACGGAGATTTGAAACCGGCAAATATTCTTGTGAATAACCTTCCGAACGGAGATAAGACGTTGCTAATTGGCGACCTCGATGACATAGTTCACATGCAAAGAAAGTGTCACCTGCTCCGGGGACATATCGCAGTTGCGCGGTACCGTACGGTACATGTCGCCAGAAATGATGACAAAATTCTGTCAGGTTCAGCCGGGCGCTCCAGGAAGAAAAACAGACATCTGGAGCTTGGGGTGCATCATACTGGAGATCGCTGAGTGCGCCACTGGCTGCGAATCTGGCGAAAAGCTAGTCGAAAAGGATGGAGTAAAGGTCGGCCTGAAAAGTAGTCCTTCTAACATGCAGTTTGCCACATTAATAATGGATGGATATACACCATTTATCCCTGATGGCATACCAATACACTGGGCAGATTGTATTCGACTTTGCTTGAAACACAGTCCTAAGAGCAGAGTATCTGCGGAAGAGCTGCTACATGAGCTCCCTGTGATTTGTATAGCCGCTTTTGCCGGTAAGGCCCATTCAAACAACGATACCATCCAACTGCTCCATTTTGATCCAGTGACATCCCAATTACGAATTCGTGAACTGTGTGCGCCGGGAAACTCACGAGTCACTGCAGTTTTTCCCCAGTTGACTATGCCATTCAGAGAAATAATTCAGAGAAATAATATAATATTTCAAACGACAGATACTGCAAATGACGGCGATCACGATTTTCATCTCTGGAATGTGGCTGAGGGAACTTGGCGTTCGTCAATTTCTAGGATATATAATAATGGAACTTCAATTTGTTTTTATCGTCCCGTTGTAGTGAACGATACGATCTATGCATTTTTGACTGGCTGTATGAACGGTGTAATATTAGAAGGAACTCAAATGATGGCACACAGATTTTCTACCAGCGAAGTCAAATTTTTTAGGAAGGCTCCATTCGAATGGTAAGCAAGCTAAATAGAAATTTACCATGATTACTCGTACCAAACGCGAGGTTCCCAGTGGAAATTCAGTTTATCTTTGATACAAATTAGTACAACAGAACGAAGTTTCGTTCCGAATGTGGCGCTATAATTTTTATAATAAATCTGCTTTCATTTAAAAAACGACTTTTTTTCATGAGTGTCGAAAGCGAAAGCACTGTTTGAAAGTGAGAACACGACCAGCGGTTCCTTATGGTACCGAAAAATGCACCGATTGGTTCATTGACAGACCGGCACGCAACTCTTCCCATTGAACCAATTTACCTTGAAAAATATACTAGTAGTAGATAGTACGCATTTGTAACTGCTTCCGGCAGTCGCTGCAAGGTCTGCCTTCAGCGATGGAAGAGATCTGCTGAGCAGTGAGCACTGCTGTTCATAAGTTATTCCGAAACATCGTGGCTAGCGCGTATTCACTTTGCAACAAAAACATTCGCTACTACAAAAATTAATTTTTCGTTTTCTTATCGTAGAATAGCCAATACTGGCATTCACACAATGGCGGCCAGAGCGAGTCGAACTGAAACTGGTTCAACGTTAAGGCCACCGGTTAATTTTTTGTTGTCTGTAGATAAAAAGAGGAAAGCGAAATTCTACAATCAAACGTTGAGACTTGTTTAAGCAAAACCATTACGTAACAATTCTCAAGGTTTTTGACAGTCTCAAGATTTTTGGCATAAAGTTGTCCTATGGCTTTTACAAGAAATAAAGCATCAGCCAACATTTCGACTTTGTCCAAATATAGGTTCCAATGAAACATAATAAGATATCTTGCAGGTTTCACGTGTGGGCAATGGCAGAATTTGGACATAAGATATTGTATGCCTACGACCGTTTGCATGAAACTGCGCTCGCAGTTTTTGATCCAGTGGCCGACGAATGGGGAATTTTAGCGAAGCTGCCCCAATGGCGGAAAGGGTTTGCCATGACTGTAGCTGATGGATACGTCTACGTCATAGGGGGAATGGTCCGAAGGGAAGCCGGTGCATTACAATGGGCTCCCTGGAGCGTTACAGCTTGTTGCGTGCGGTTGAATATTACGACCAAAACGTGGAAAGAAATCCATCCTCTTCGGCAACCCCGCTATTATCATTCGGCTTGCGTTGTTAAGGAAAAGATCTACGTCATTGGCGGCAGAAATGCTGCAGATGATCATGTATTATCAATTGAAATTTATGATACAACCATTTGCGGGCCCTGGACAGTTGTCGCATTACCCGCAGAAAGTCAAAAACTGTTGCGAAACCTCGTCGAAAATGTTGAACACGGGGAAGCCATAATTGCAGTTTCAGCGGCTCAATGATGATGCAGTCGTTTGCGTCATCTTCCTCTGCTGCAGGACAGTGGAACAATGATGAATGTTACCAAGTAACAAGTAACGTTTTTCCGGTTGCTTAGGCTGTCGATTAGACCGTCCCTTGGACCGTAATGCGCACCGGTTCCTCAACCCGTAAGCAGTACTTATATTTCACAAGTTAGACTTACCGAGCAAAAAATATGGAACGAAAATGTTTCGAACAAATGTCACAGCAGTTTTTATTTTTTATTTTTTGCTTCATGTTTTGTTTCTTCCTGCTTCATGCTTTCTGCTTTCTTTGCTACTTTATTTTTGTCATAAAGCACTTTGCCAGTTCTTCTTAGGATGTTGGAAAGGTATGCGCATCAATTTTATTTCATAATAAAATCGTGATATGGCATTAATCACCATTACGAGAAACCAGCACAACTGACTAAGGTAGAAAACAACGAAACAATAATTAGTAACAGCAAAAGACAGAGCACGCCGGCAGCGATTTTATTTGGTGGCGCGACCGACAATAGAGCTGCCATTTATACCTGAAAAGCATTGAATTCATGCAGTTTACCTATACGTTTTTTATTATAACGTTATTAATTGTTTCTACTTACTTGTTTCAACCGGGAATCGGCATCCTGCAGTCGGTCAATCCGCGGAGCAGCCACATCGAGATCCTGTCCGGCACCGCGAAGTAAACGCCCATCACTGCTGCGTGGTGGCTGCCCGATGGCGCACACTGATCCCGCCGGCCACACCGCATTCTGGCAGCTCTGCTTCTCGTCCGAGCAATCCTATAAAATCGATTTCACGTCATATTTATTCTGATGAAATGGAATACTTCAAAATTTTAGTAGCCCATAGTAAGGGAATCGCAAGTAAGCGAGAGTTTAAAACATCTGAGCAACAATGCCTTAGCTCAAACAACTAATCCAGCTATGCCTTGTTAATCTTAAAAGCCAAATTTACAAAGAAAAGATGTGATCGGTTTACAAACGCACATTGCAGTCCTGGACACCATCGCACAATTGAGTCTGGTCCAAACAGCGGGAGTAATCGTTGCAAGCGAATCGATTTGGACCGCAACCTGCAACGTAATACACCAGCTGAACAGTGCTACTGTTTCGCGCACACCGTGAACGTTATTACCAGTGGTGGTAGCTTAGCCGTAGTATCTGTAACGAGCGAGTTTCTAGAACCCCTGGAAATTATTGCCAATTGAACTTTAAACTACGCGACGCTCTTCGTATTGGCACACACAGATTTGTGCTGCCGTCACCACGTTACTTGCAACACAGCGTAACCTCGTTTCGCTCGGTGAAAAGTATTAAGAATCACACTCCGATCAACCCATCAAAATGTACATACATATTCCGACGACGTTGTTGGTATGACTGCGTCCGCGGCTGGTGGATTTGCAGTTACACTGCCATCCCGTGGTGGTGTTCTGGCAGGTGGCCGCGCCATCATCACCGAAGCAGGGCGTCAGAATACCGCTGGCCACAACCCCGCTGTTGTCCGCCGGTGGACAGGCTGCCGGAAGGCACCGGCTGGCGTCCACGCTGGGCACCAGCGTCGCTTGTGCGGTTTCAATGGTGTTGGCGGTGCCGGTGAGGACGCTGGCCGGGTCCTTGTTGACGCCCGCCACCGGGCACTGACACGTGCCAGTTAACGTCGCCTGGTTGACGGAGCCGCAGTACGAGTTTGGGATGCGGTTGGCGCACACAGTGGTGTTGGCGCAGACGCCGCCCAGTCCTATAAAATGGACAGTCTGACCACAAATAATAAAATTATTAAATTAGTTATTTATTTCGCCTGCAGCACGCACTTTTAACAGTTACCTTGCGCTGGTTAATACTGATGGTGAGCAAATTCATTTGGTCGATAAACAAAAATCGTTAGCATTGTGAAAAATTGCTAGCGCTGTGCCTTCGCACTTTTAAAAATTTGTATAAGTAGTCAAGAAAACAAAATTAATTTGGTACCAGCAATATAATTTGTAACAAAGTTGGATCAGTAAATACTAAATACTAGTAATAAGTGTATTAAGAAGTATAAACCGTGATTGGTTTTTTTAAATCTTCGTAATAATTAAACCTTTTTATGCATTTTAAATAAATGACCGTGGAAATTTTCTTTAAGGGCATCGTCTTACTTGGTGTACAGTTAGGCCAGGTACCGCCGAACTGGCATGTGCATCCGAATTTTCCGGTCTGCAGATTGGCGCGACACACCGAGCTGGTGACCTGTAAGGCGCAAGGGTCCGGCGTCGAGGGCACGCACTGGAAGCCGCTGGTCTGGTTGACGAACGCCAAAGGCAGACATACGGCGTACAAGTTGGGAATGATGGGGATTTTGGCTGTACAAGGCGTGACCATACTTGTTATTATGTACTCATACAGTAATACGCGTGGTAACAAAAAATAACACATCGGCAAAACGTATACGGTTTTACCGCCGACATGCCGGCAACTTACTGGCTACACGGTAATCACAAACGCAGATGGACCGCAGAGCATCACAGCGCGTATAGGCCAGTGCTGCAAAATTATTACGGTTTTATTTTTGATTTAACTTGACAAGGTTAATAATAGTCCGTGTAGAAGAATAAGCATCCTGCAGCAACTCGAATTAAAATCAATATGACATTAAATTTAATTTATAGGGGCAGCTTTTTCTACTATATAATATGTCATATAATGACATACTGTACAAAAGCAGTTTTTTAGTCTGTTCCTTAATAAAAGAAAAATAAATAGTAAAAAGTGCTTTCATCAGGATTATTGGTTGATAATGCAACATACTTGCTAGACAGGTATCACCAACGCCCCCGCTGGCGCTGGTGCAATTTCCGCCTTCGATGCTTCGTCGATGGCGATTCGCCACGGAACGCGCCGAGCGCAGGTATGTGTGTACCGCGTCCTCCACAGTATAACCGTCCGGTGAGTTGCCGTTAAGCACTCGTTTCACGGCGTCCCACGGTATTAGCTGCTCATATTGACCGGGAAAGGCGCTGACAAAATACTGAAAAAATTTGAATCCGCTTCATAAATTTGTTTAAATACTTAACTGGTAATTGGCAGCTTTTATCAAAGGTCACCAATTATCGCAGCATGTATAACTGTAAATATATACGTTTAATTTTACAATAGTAACTTTTACGAAAAGAAATTGCTAAAATTTGTATAGAAATCATATTCTTTATCGTTTCACAAATAAACAATTATTTCAATGCTCACGCTTGGTTCCAGGAGAACAAGGAAGAATACTGTAGCGCAGAGAACGTAAACATGGCGATACCGATAAAGCGACATATTCCGTGAATAAACTAAGCACGATGATCAGTAGTCAGTAGATCCACAGAATAGTGCAAACAGACGAGACAGCCGGCAAAATGATGAAAAAGAAGCAATATAAAGAAAGTGTTAGATGCGCGCCACCGTGTCATACATCACTGATTCCCATCTTATATCCGTCCCACATTCTGCATCGCACTCAACCACAGTCCATTAAAACGTGATAAACATGCCGACGATTACGACACACGTATGTATGATATGATGAGTAACGGATACATATTCACGGTCAGACCTTAAATACTACTGCCATGGCATCTTCACGGAATGAAGATTATATTACAGGCATAAAATGCATAACGATACCGGAACTGCTGTGCTTGCCGTGTTGTACCGGTGCGGGCGCGTTTTACGGGCTGCGGATTGTTTACGAGGTAGCGTGTTTTACAGGCGCATAAACCCGCTTATGTCGCGCTTAGGCTGACTATCACGTTCCACCTGACCAACATTCCGGTTGAGAGTTACGATGGCCACTCGTGTACTAGGTTAAGGTATGGCTTATTGCGGCTGCCTAATCAGTTAAATTTTACCATACTCAAAGCAGACAGTTGGCTGTACATCTCAGATTCAAATTGTCATAAGAATGGAAGACAGCAAACTATAGCTTTTTTAAAGGTGATTGGGCGTTAAAAATTTAATATCGTATATACAATATGTAAGTGATGTACGTAACATACGTACATATATAAAAATACAGATTGTTGCTGAAAAAGGGCGCGTCCGATCACTTCGGCCAACGTTCATTTCGGCCGAGGCTCACTTCGGCCAGCACTGATTTTGGCCGCCGCTCATTTCGGCAACAGGACATTTGGCCATTTTCAGTTTTCCCAATTTTCGCTATTTTGCTTCGGTTTTTTCAGGTTTTTTAAGTTTTCCAGGTTATTATTTTAGGTTTCTTAGGTTTCTCAGGTTTCTTAGGTTTCTTAGGTTTTCTTAGGTTTCTTGGGTTTCTTAGGTTTCCTTAGATTTCTTAGGTTTCTTAGGTTTTCTTAGGTTTCTTAGGTTTGCTTATTGATTTTTTAGTTTTGTTAGGTTTTCAGGTTATTCTTAGGTTTCTTCGGTTTTCTTTAGTTATTCTTCGGCTATTGTTAAGTAAGAGTTAGGTTATTTTTAGGTTATTCGAAAAGCTATGGTACCATTTGATTGCAGTTACATCAAAAGTAACGTTTTCTTGCCCAAAGTAGACCAAAATAAGCGTCAGCCGAAATGGGCTGCGGCCGAAGTGAGCCTCGGCCGAAATGAACGGCGGCCGAGAAAATTTGGCCGAAATGAACATGGCCGAAATGAAAACGGCCGAAGTGATCGGTAGCGGAAAAAGGGTGGATCGTAACAGCTGTCCAGTGTCTAGGCGGTTGTCCAAAACGCATCTTAATTCTTAATACTTTGGCTGCGCTAATTCTCATTGAGCGAAAGTTGAATAAACTTTGAGTATTTTTTTGATTTTGTGCAGCTAAACGAAAAAGTATTCCAAAAAAGTAATATTTTTCAATTTCATAAAATTTCTTCCCATTCCAGCTTGCACAGCTATAGGCTGTCAGCATAATTATAATCAAGAACTTGTCGAAAACCTGTTATTTGTACTCTGTAGTTAGAGAGCAGAAAACATTCCATGGAGAACGGCGTATTAACAACGGCCAACAGCCCCGGCAAAACGCGCTTGATTCACCATCAAACGGGTAGTTCGGAGATAATTGTAGGCGACTGTTGTAGCAACGCAAAATTGTTTGCCAGGTGATAAATGCCAGACTTGTAGCGCATGTTTTGTGGCGTTTCCAAAATTTTTTCATGCGTACAGGCTCGCAGTTTTTGACAGACAGTTTGTTCGAGTGCATTTTTTATGCCTGCAACATGCAAAAATATAGGTAATAAAAATTCGGTATATTGTGATATAATAAAATACAGATAAAACCGTTGTAATATGTGTGAAGGCCGATAGCTCCGCCTTCATGATTGGCCATTCGCTGTTGTGTTTCGCTGTTTCTGGGGATTTCCACCCTGCACATTTCTGTGGTGTTTTGACGGATCTACAGCACAGCTGCGCTGGCTGTAGGATCCGATCTCATTAGTCTGGTGTTTGCTGCGCCACGGTGCGCAAGTTAGATTTCGGCATTAAAGCTTCAATCCGGGTTCGCCGCTGTTTCGCCGTCGAAGGTACGTGGGCGCCCATAAGGCCCCACGTAACATATGAGATAATAAATTTAAATAAGCTTCGGTCGAGCAGGCGTAAAAGCTAACTTCAAAAAATGAGGAATGCAAAATGTTACATAACATGTTTGGGCCAGATGAAAAAGACTGGCGAAACCGTTCTGTTTCTCGTTTCTTTAGATTAGGAGCTTTCTATAATCTTCTAATCAAATACAGTATGTTATCAATATGCGTACTGTTGCCTATAATGTTATCAAATATGCGTAGCGTTATTTCTACAACGCTACACTTATTTCAGTTCTTCTTGTAACTTCTGACTTCTGTCATTTACGTAATATCAGCCAACGGTGACATTCTTCCTAATTTTGCAGACAGGAAACGGGTGCTTTATTAATTAGTAATCTTTGAAAAGAAAAAATGTGAGGAATGGACGCGGCCACATAAGCAACTATTGTCGAACAAAATCGGCGAATGCCAAAGGCATTCCATACATTTTAATGATTTTATTATCGGAATTCCTGCGCTCCGCAGCGCCTGGGCCGATTTGAACGAAACATCCAGAAACCACCGAATTAAAGGTAGGAAAAAACGCGGGCGAGCCATGCAAATGATGGCGTGCGCCAGAGACATTTTAAGTTTTCGATTATTAAACTTAAGATGGAATTGCTAGAAGTTTGACCGCGTTTCGTTTCATAAAATTCAGTCTTTGAAACACCTATCAAGGGCTAAAAAGGTCACCTTGGTCAACGAGGCAATGTCTATGGGTAGCTGTCGGATATCCATCGCGTCCCAACGCTGTGGATGGCCATTCGAGGAAAATTCGTTGAACCTGGTTAATTACAGAATTTGTTTAGAACTGCTTAAGCAGATGATACAGCGAAATGGTTGGTGAATACTGGCACTAAATTCGCAGTACAATAAATTTTTATGTTTCTTATACCAGGTTTTTCTGTACAGATACCTGTGCATATCAGTAGAAGTACTTGTTAACTTGCCGTGCATAACGTTGATTTATGCAATTCTGATTAAACAAACGAAGAAAAACTCCAGGTCAAAATAAAAAGAACGTCTACCCGAAAACTTGCAACGGTCTGTTCTATGGAGCGAGAAGATAATTACGAAAATAATTATTACATAGTTTTCTACTTTGCTTACAGCCGCAGGAAAGTGCGAATGCGGATCCATTGGTCGGGATAGGCCAGCGTCTGCACCCAACGGGCATGCATCGCTGTGACCTTTGCCAAAACTCGCGTACTAACGGGCGGACAGTGTGCGTTGGCTGCTGCCAAAAACCCCCGTCGCTGTTCTACCGTCGTTTCCGTGGAGCGAAAGCGTAATAGCGGAATGAACACATCGCACCGAGTTTCCAGCATATCCTGGCGCAGAAATGCCGTCTCGGACGTGGGCTTACCCGTTGCCCTGTCCAAAAACAGTATTTCATGAGCTGATAAAGTGATGGCATCCGCTGCGTTGTAATTGACCAGCACCAGATCTTTACAAACGGTCATCAGCTCCGCCAGCGAAACACACTCGAAGTAGCCGCTGCGGGGATTGCGGCTGATGGCCAGGAAAGACGCCTGATCGCAGTTTAGGCAGTTTTTCACAATAATACCAGACAGGCAAAGGCCCTTAGTTTGCAGTAGCGATTTGATCATCCATATCTGTGCATGAACATCATTCGCCGCGTGAACGTGATTCCCGGAAGTAGTCAGCGCTAAGGTATGAGTGCGTCCCGAAAGAACGGCGTCCAGCGTGGTTACCAGCTGGTAAGTGAGATAGCGAGTATACACTGCGTACGACTCCTCGTCATGTGGACGCCTTGTGCATGTCGTGCACATATCGAAGAAAATGTGCCCGGTGTCGTTTATTTTCTGGGCAAGGAGCCTCCACAGTGCACATACCCTGATAAAAATTAAACCAGGCTCCATATTATAAAATACATTTTTCTAATATTTTTAGTTATGTAATCTGGAATATCTTAAAGACAGACTGAATTTTTAAATACTTCTAATTTTAAAAGAAAAATTGTAACTTCAGTTTCACTGATATTTTTTGTTGTTATTGGTGCACTGCTTCTACTGGGAATTATCGACCGAGTTAAACAACTTACTAGCCATTGAAACTCATAAAACAATACTTAATTGCTTTAAATTAAAGGCAACTGTAGTAAGGTACCGGCTTGCTTGTAACTGAGAATTAATATCCAAACTTAGCAAGATATATGTTACGATGGGATGCGGCAGGTCGCTGATGGACATTTCCACATCTGCAGAATAATATTCAACTTAGAATACCGTACATCTGCAAAGTACTCATTTTAAGCTAAACGGTATCTTCACAGTGTTTCATGCACACCGTTCTGCTGTCCGTAATTCGAAGCGTTGCGCAGTGTCCTGTCCACGTTAACGGAGCCACTCCTTTGCTTTTCAGCGAGATAATTTTCCCATGCATTTCTCAGGGATTCTTCGTTCCAGAACATTATGCGACCGGCTGTGTCGCTTTGCATTTCGGCACAGATAAATGTGACTAAATCGAATCCCACTTGCACAAATACCCGGCAACCCAGCTCGATGGGATAAAGCTGCCCATGCGAACTTTGGCAAACGAAATTGCTTCTATCTATTAGAACCGTCCTTCGGAAGCAACAGTTTGCACAACACGGGTCACGGCTACGATTAACCGCTAACTGGCTAATTGGGCCTAAAAACGCTGGCAAAAAATCCACTTCCGGCAACAAATGAGCCTCAGGAAACTTGAGCACATATTTTTTGTACAAGAATCCGGTAGTTCGCTCGTAGAAACTGTCACCATCATCAGGTAGTGGAAAATCTTTGACAAAATAATTGCGATGCACGATGTGGCACGCCGTTGCCTGTGGGCTTTTTCCGTCAGGTTTTTCCCAATTATCCACGTTCACAATAAAGAACATATTGTTCTCCCAATCATTGACCGTACCAGACCGGAAAACCAGTGGTTCACCGGGCGATCTTCGGAGGGCGACCTGGATGACTTTGTTTCCATAAAAATGCTTACACTTTTTCCGGCTGGAAAGAAAATGATGTGGCCAGAGATGTTTAGTATGAATCCACTGGGCACTGATGGTACTGGCATCAAAATCCACGAAGAAATAGTCTCCGTTAATGTCCTGTACATATCCCAGCCACCATTCCCCGTTGTCGCGCTGCACGAGCACCGTGTTACCATAATTAACTTCGCGGGCACCCGAAAACAGCTTGCGAAAGTACAACGGTGTCGCGTTCATGTTTTAATGCTATTAGAAGTGGAAAAGTAGCAGCGAGTTATTTATTGGACAAGCATGGGTACGGTGTACAGCTTGTCAGTTTCTCTAACCTGACAGCGACGGATACAAGCAAAACTGAAAGGCTTAAAGGACTCTTAGCATTAACGTCCAAAGAAACCAAAGAAACGCCATAATAATGCTGAAGGGCCGCAGACTGCTGCGAAGCAAAGTGTCAACTAAGTTAATCGCAAGCGTTTAAACATACGCGCATATCGCGGTTGAGCTGTCTATGTATATGGACCTGCACGAGAGCCGTTATTTTGCCACAGCCGTATAGGAAAAAACGTTCGATTCCTTACGAGCCACGCCGAGCTGTAAAAACGAGCACATGTGTGTAGGCAACCGGTATATTTACACCATCAAAAGCAGAGTGTTAGATGTAAACCGGAACCAAGACGATGATGATGTTACGCGTAATACGCTGTTGTGTGTACGGTCTTTTTATCAGATGTATTTTTATCAGATCCCATGATACATTGTGTAATGTATTGAATGCTATTTAAGCTTGATAGTATCGCTCTGAAATCTTCTGCACACGGTTAGGTAAGCAGATTTCCGCATGAGATATCTGGATGTTCGAAAATTTAAAAATCAGCGTGAAATTCCTGCCATGAAATTCCTGTGTCGTACGAGCACATGAGCAATTTTGAGCTGACCAAATCTGACCGAACGACCGCATTGCATGCTTTGTTTCCTTGCATGTGTTTTTGCTGTTAGAAAACATTTTACTAACTTGCAGGCGTCCGACAAGTAAAGCTGACCAAACTTTTCGTTTTCCGATCAGATGACCACCGGGCCATCGAAAGAGCATCGCATTGCCGTGACAGTTTCGTGCCTAGCGGGAATCGTATTACAAATCTATAATCCTCATCAGAATATACTGATAAAGTACTGGATCGTTGGGAAAATGTGCAAAATGCAGGGTAATATTAATTATTTTCTTTTCTAGTGTAGCGCTGCTGATGGTATTTCTGTACTTCTTCATAGAATTCTATATTAGAAGGAATGCTCACTAATCAGTTGCCTTGTGATGATTTGGACTACTTTTATTAATTCTGATTTTGATGTTATTTTGATGATAAAAGTGGAAAAGGTGACTCAGTTCTCGATTATTTTTGTAAGATTCTAAATAGAAACATAATAATGATCATAATTATAAGCCCCCTTCGTATGGGATAAGTGTAGTCCCGGGGCAAACCACTACACTTGGCGCTCCTGGGAAGTACGAATTTATCGCCTTTCGGAGAGAACAGTAGTTAGTTTTGTGGTATTTCCTGGATGGAAGCGAGCGATCGTCCTCGTACTCGTAGTGGACTTCTCAGAGTAACTCCTGTGAAGAAAGTCCGGAAACCCAGAGTTCTTAAGACAGGAAACGTGAAGAGGCTCAGTATCCCTGCGACTGTGACTACGAGTGCAGTCTCAGCTCCTGTGCCTGTGTTTTCACCTGCAAACTCTATTCAGCCATCTGTAAATATCTTCGCCAGAAGCAGTAAGATGTTCCGCAGTCCGCCAAAGAAAGCTGTGACTCCTGTTCAGGAAGAAATTGAAACGTTGCCCGACGAACCTCTTGCCCCTGCCGCTCCTGCTGAGACAGCAGAGGAACGAAATACTCGTATCGATTCAGAAGTGGATTCTCTCTTTCAGAAGAAACGAGCAGCGGATCCCAGTATTATTTCCGATGGACTTTCTGATGCAGAAGATGAAGTCGATGGCAATGAATTACAGAATACGGGATTCCTGGAGTCGGACGTAGGCTTTGGAGAGAACCCGTATCAGCTATTTTCGGCGTCGAAGAACCGGATTGGAAATTTTTCATTTCCGAGTTCCATTCCATTTGGAATGGGATCTCCACTCCGAACACTTCCGGTGATGAATCAGTTTGTGCTCAATAGCTTGACATTGCCAGCCTCTCTTCATGCCCCAGTCAGTTCGAGTGGAATTGGAACTTCCCCAGCGGTGCCATCATCTCCATTACGGACGATTGTGACTTCCAGTTTCGGCAACCCAGTGACGGTCTCTGCAGTTTCTTTGCCTACTGTCACTACAACGTACAGTACATCAGTTCCTTCATCAGGATCACTTTCCTCGACGTATACAGTGAGTGCACAGATGCATCCCATTTCCAGTACCGTTCCCATTTCTGTACAGAATGTCAGTGCACCAGTTCAGCCTGCTGACATGTCGGATAGTGTTGCTGACGCGTTGAAAGATGTGCTGACATCCTTTGAGAGGAATATACTTGGTACGATGAATACGATGAATAACTCCTTGAAACAGGATATTTTGTCGATGGAGAAAAAGAATGACGATCGGTGGAAGCATCATCAGCAGGACGTTAACTCGGCTTTTGGCCTGGTGACACAGCAGCTGTTGAAGCACGAATCGTCGTTCACTTCTAAGATGCAAGAAATGGATGAATGGAAAGCCACGATGGCAGCGAAAATGGATTCCTTAGCACAGGATTTTGACAAGATGAAGCGGCAGAAATCTTCGGCTCCAATGGAAAAGTCGCATCAAATTATGCCGCGTGCGCGTACCGAGGATATTCGTGGCCTTTCGGTGATGCACACTCCTTCAAAGGAATCTGTCATGTCTGACTCATCTGTGGAGTTTATTGAAGAACGTGGTCCAGCTATGCGGCTGAAAACTCCTCATTTTGCAGGACGTAAGGATGAACGCATCGAAAGTTTCCTTGGGAAATTTGACGCTGTGTCCAAACTGAATCAGTGGGACGACCAGATGAAGACAGTGCAGCTTAGTTATGCCTTACAAGGCGCTGCCGAGAAGTTTCACGGCCAACTGATGGCTCGGTATGACACGGCATCCTGGACATTTAAGGATTGGAGAGACAGACTTCTCCAGCGTTTCGGGACGGAAGGACGGGAATTCTCCGCAGAACAGCAGTTATTTTCCGCCGTGTATGACGGATTGATGGATGCTGATGTGTTCATTCAGCAGATGGCGGACCTGATGGATGATGTTGACCCGGAAATGTCTCCGTCCAGACAAGTACAGTATCTGGTGAATTCTTTTAGAAATTTTCCGGTAATGCAGAATTTTATCATTGCACGGAATCCTAAGTCAATAGGAGATTTAACGTCGGTTGTGCATGCCTTGAAACCTATGCAAGGTCAGAATGGCGTGCCGGCGGTTCCGAAAGTACCGTATTATCAGACTCCTTATACAGGACGTGGTCGTGGTTTTGGTCGTTACAGTGGTTATGGTAGCGGCCGCTGGGGCGGATATCGGAATTCCGGACCACGGATGCAGTCGTCAGCGGATGTGGCGCCGTCCAGCAGTGCCTTGGAAACGCCACCGAAGCAGTCCTATGCGGATGCGGCAGTCGCGCCGGTGCCCGATGGTGGCATGAATTTCCAGCCTGGAATGCCGATGGAATTTCGCCCGCGACCGCCCATGCAAAATCCGCCACCGCGTCGTTTTGTCCCGCAGTGCTATTTCTGTGCAGAACATGGCCATATCAGCAGTGAATGCCGTTGGCCGTCGGTGCCGCAGTCTGAATGGCCGGACAACATCCGTACCGGGAATCAGATGATGGCAGAGCGCCGGCGCAAGTTCTTGGAAAAAAGGCGTGCAGCGTCGGCGGCGGGTAATCGTCCGCCGTTTAATCCAGCAAAAAACGCCTAGGCGCAGCTCAGGGAGGTGAGTCTGTGCCGCGTGTGAGAAAGCCTCCGGATAAATTGTATATGAGTACGGTTTACGTTAATTCTTTGTACAAGAAGCAGCTTTGTAAGGCAGAATACCCAGTTTATGGTCCAGATACGCTAATGGGAATTAAATTAAATAATCGTGAAATCAGCTGTTTATTTGATACTGGTGCTGCAATTTCTATGATTTCGAAAGAATTTTGTGATAATCATAAAATCCTTTATCAGGAAATTGATCCAAATTACCAGCATTGGAATGTGATTGGTATTAATGGTGTATCATTACCGAAGTTTCGTTTCTGTTTGCAAGCCAATTTAGAGATGTGCGATATTGTGTTTCAGCACAGTCTCTTTGTGAGAGAAGAAAGTACGCCTTATCCTTTAATTTTAGGAACGGATTTCCTTAAGAAAATTAAAACGATAACTTTTGATTATCGAGATTATTTTCCGACAATTAAAGTACAAGTGCCTTCTTTGATTAATTCTTTTGAAGAAGAGGAGAAAGTGCAATGTGAAAGGTTGACCCGTGAATTGTTGAGTTTGGGTAATTCATTTATTAATGATGATGGTTTGAACGCCAATCTTGATGCACGAGTACTTGATGACTTCTCAGTAGAAATGCGTGAACGCCTGGAAAGGCTGAAGTGTGATGATTCGTGTGTGAGTGTAAGTTCCAGTGTGAAGCAGAGGACCTCGGATGTTCCTGTTGTGCGACCGGTGCCTGCGGGCGTGGCAAAACCAGTTTCCGGAGTGGGGAATGCGCAACCTCGTTCTGGATTGGAGAAGTCACCGCAACCGCAGACAGCTAAGGTAGTGCCGCCGAAACGCCGAGTGGGACGTGTTGCGGAGAGTGGATTGGCCCGGCCGGTAACAGTCTATTCTGCCCGACATGTTCAGGTTCCTCCTAGGACTCAGGTAGTCATTGAATTAAGCCCCGGGCGTAAGAAAATAAGAGATGGTGAATATATGTTTTTGCCAAACCGGGCCAAGAATGTAGGCATAGGACTACAGCTGGCTAATGCGGTGGTTAATTGTGAAAATGATACGATTTTATTCTGGTTAGAAAATCGTACAACTAATAATATTATTATTAAGAAAGGTGTTATGATCGGTAGTTTAGAGAATTTTAAGGAAAATCCTGATGTTCCTGCGTCGGTTGGCAGTGTAGGTCAGGAGAATGTGTACATGACAGATGAAGAATTTGAGACAAGTTTCGCTGAGTGCAAATTAAATCCTAATTTAAATGAGGAGCAGCGTCAGCGAGTTAAAGAATTAATGCGGAAGCATGTACGATTATTTCCTACAGAGAAGGAACCGTTTGGTAATGTTCCTAATGAATTTCATTATATTAGGACGGGTGATGCGAAGCCGTTTAAGCAGACGCCTCGCCGGTATGACTGGACCGGTAGAAAGTTAATTATGGATGAAGTTGATAAGATGTTAGCGCAGGGAGTCATCCAGCGTTCTAAATCTGATTGGTCTAATAGAATTCTGTTAGTAGAAAAGAAAGACGCTGGAGTCCGCTTTTGCTTAGATTTTCGGCAGTTAAATAAATTAACTGTTAAAGACTCTTATCCTATGCCGATTATTGAGGATATCCTTCATGCGATAGGAGATTGTGACTGGTATACAACGCTAGATTGTAAGTCCGGTTATTGGGCGATTCCTATTGCACCTGAGGATCA